ACTTCAGTTAAACACGTATAGGATGAGGAGATAGAGAAAGGGTGGGTAGACAAAAAATCTGCATTTTCTAATATTTATCGTGATGTATTATCGTTCACTTATAGAAGAAGTACTAAAATATTGATGCGCATGCCGTACGCGGAGCTTGTCTTAACTTAGTAGGATGAGCTGGATAAGATGGGAAGAAGATGATGACACTATTTCCGGTCCAAACTGGAGAAAGATGAGAGGATATATTTATCTCGTTGGTCATCTTGGTGGATCTGTAATTAGAACGCCATCATCTACTTTTGCATTTGACGATAATGATGATATTTACAAAGTAATTTCCAATTTTTATTTAATTGGATTAGAATAACTCGTACATAAGTATGTACATACATATGTAAATCGCGTATGTTTCTCTGCCAATACAATTCTTTACTTCAATGAATAAACCTATAATATGTAAATCGTGTTGGTACTTGCCTGAAGAGATTTAGATGAAATTATCTCATCCATGTCCAATGACTGAAAATGTTGTCGCCAGATTAACAAAAAATGATCCAGTTGAAAGTCAGATACTATCGAATTGGTGTAAGGCCGTGAAACTGGTAAATTTGAAAATTGTTTTAAAAACTGCACAATTTTTACTCAACATGTGCATTATTAATCTGAACGACATATGTTTTTTTTAATTTCCAAGGATATCATTTTATAGAAACTGCGTAGAGTAAGGTAGGATTAATTACTTACCATTTCTAAGACAAATTGCGACATTTTTATGTAGAACTGCATTTTGCGGTAGAATTTTTGCACTTAGGGAACAGGTCGGAAAACTACATACATTTGCCCAAATCGGACGAGCCATTAATTTGATAAATGAGAGAATTATTAAAAACTTTCAAATTTTTGCTCAAATTATGATTATCAAAGTTTTTGAGACGAGATGTACATACTACGTGTTCAAAAATGGTGCATGGCAATCGAGTGCAGGATGTGGGATGTAAATTTATCCCGACGGGGAGGCTTGATTAAGGGATAATCCAGATTTAGGTATTATTTTTATGAACTAATTAGTTTTTACATTGTGCCTAAAGTCAGGTAGAATTAATTTCTTACCATTTTTAACTCCCGCCCTCCTGTCAAGTTGTTATATTTCTACAAAAAATTGAACTGTATTGTAAAGAATTTTTGCAACATTAATGCAAAATTAAGCAGAACTTAGTTAAGCATGATTACTCTTGTCAAGGCAGATTTAAGTGCGCATAATGGCGTGATTTTGCCACGTCAGCGACTTGCAAACTTTCCAGTCGTTTCCAGTCGTTTCCAGTTCTAGAAATGTCATAAATAATACAACTCTCCCTCCCAGTCAATAAAAATACTTAAATATATGTATAGAACAATTTCAATTTAAGACAGTGCAGAGCCAAAACATACATGAAACACTGATTTATGAAAATTTCACAATATTTGAAACTTTATCAAAAAATCTTGCCATTCATGAAATTCATGCCGATGAAATTGAAATTGAATTTTATTTAAGGTTAATTCCAACCTTAAATAAATTTCCAGAAATTACAAAACTAATTAAATTAAAATATGTACGTTTGTATGTACCTATATAGATAAATATGCGTGGCAATTTAATTTATTGGGTTTTTGATAACTTACTGTTATGCATTACCAATATTCAAAATCCCAGTCTCTTAGAAATTTGATTTGTTGTCACGCTGGGATATTGTCCTTACCTTTGCACTTTGACCTGCTGTGGGGTGAAATTGGGCTGTTTCGTGGATGGTGAATAAGAATGCAAGGAAGAGTTACATATGTTTGCATGCATGTTGTGTTAGGCATGTAACAGATTGTATCGTTAGATTGGTTTCGGTTGTTATTGTTAAATACATATGCGTTTGAAGAAATAAAGATTTTTTTTTCTGAGAAGTTATAAGTTTTTTTTCTGTATGAAGTAATGTTTATAGTAACGTAGAAGAAATGCATGAATTGATGACGCTCGATACAGGAATGTGTCTACTTTCGTGGACGCATTCAAGAAAATGCAATTTTACCCACAGAATATTTATGTAGCTGTTAATTTATTAACGTGAAAATTTGCGTTTTTATACATATGTATGTAGACAGTAACCTATAAAAGTCGACAGGTTTGCTTTAATAGAAGTTTTAAGTCAATTAGTTAATTTTTTAGCATATATTTACATAAGCATGACTATCTATTGAAAGAATAGTAGATACATTACAAAGTAGTAATGAGACCTTTAATGCAGTTTGTTATAATTATCATGGACATATTTTTATGCATATAAACAGGGCCCTTACGAGGGGCTGCCAGGTGGGGGTTTTCCCCAGGGCCGGGCCCCGAAGAGGGCCGGGCCCTGGTGTCCATCAAAAAAATTGCACAGGCGATTATTTAAGTGTTTAGAAGATTTTGAGCAGTGGCGTAGCGTGCTAATGTTGAACCTAAAATAAACAATAACTGAGAACACAAAATATAAATTTATGCGCATATCAGTATCAAAATGGTTAAATAACAATTGCGTCAATTTGTGCACTAGATCATGTAAAATGTTTTGCAAAATATACATCTATCGATACATTCTGTTTCATTTGAAATTTTTCGTGTATATGTTTCATACCACTTCCATACTACTGCAGGAAAACTCGAGCTGGCTCGGCCCAGCTGGTTAACTTTGGAGCTCGAGCCAAGCAAATACTTTAGTCCGGTTCGAGATAATTCAGCTCGACTCGGTTATTATCGAGCCGAGTCCAGCACACCAAAAGCTCTCTTGGCCCTGCTAGTTAAGAGCACTGATTTCAAGGTCTCATAATTTCTGTCCAAACCTCAGATCGTGAACCTAAAGCCACGGCGCGATCGGCCTTGACCTTACCGAAGCCTTTGGTTAACGACTAGTTTTAAAGGTTTTCATTTTCAAAATAATAGTCGACCTCATGTCTTACTGAGGTCGACCTCAAAATCCTAAAACAGGCAGAGGCCTGAGGTCATCCTTCACTGTTCAGGCATATTGTGGCCTATTATGTAGGCTATTTCAGTTTTACACGAGTGGCAACAATGGATAATTATGTATGCATGCATTTTTTAGCTGAAAGAATTAGAAAATATTCAGACTGCAGTTGATTTTAAAATGAATAAAAATAGTTTTTCAGTAACCAACACCAAACATAAAACCTAAACATTGACACTAATATACCTATCCTAAGTGCGCATCGATAGTTAACACACTAAGCAAACACCTGAAAAAATTGTTTGTGCTTTCTACTTAGGAAGCCTAAGTAATTTGTGTAAAAAAGTAGTTAGAAGTTTGTATGTTAACAATTGCACATGTTCTCATTTTCCATCTTTTCATTTACTCTGCACAGTATAACCAAAATTTTTTGAGACGCTTCTCAACTTTCCTAATCCGACAAACTAATTGCGGGAATTTATTGCCAGGTTTCTTTTTACCATCAAAATCCAAGCTTAAATTTGTTACAATTAAATTTCACAAATTCTATCGGTACTACTATCCCGCAATGACGAGGAAACATAAACTGGATAACCAGAAACCGATTAGTGATGTGTCGAAAGAACCCTCCGGAGCTCAAAAACGTAAGAAACAGAAAGAAATAGAAGATAAGGATAAAAAATTAAGGAAGCAGGCCGAGCGGTTTTTTAAGTCACCTACACAGCCTCATTCGGATATCTCAGTGGTAAGTTGTGACACTTTCTGAACGATTATTTATTGTAAATATTGTGGTAAAATTCCTTAAAATTAGAATCGCTAAATTGAAAATTAATGAAATTATTAAGCAGACGGATTCGCCGGCAACAACTTCAACATCATTGCAAATTTCTGTAGACGATGTACGTTCGGATGGTTCACGTAATCAGGAAGCAATCGTGTCTGCTCAGGTTCTGAACTTTAAAAAAATTATGCCAAGCTCATTTTTTATTGAGCAAAATTAATTTGGCATCAAAGCTGACCAATAAATAATACTGTTCAAATGTATTTAATGTAGATTGATTTGGAAACGTCTTCTCTACCCGTTAAAATTCCTAATGAAAATATTGAAAATAAAGAATTTCTGGCGACCTCCGAAGTCGAAATGGATGCTGATGACGACGCTGCAATTTCATTGTTTGATCCGAGTAGTTGGCCCCAAATCCTGAACGAGGAAAATCGGAACAGAATCTTGCAGTCAGTGCCAAATTTTGAGTCTACCTTTACTTTCGTCCCAGTTAACGGTCACAAATTTTCGGGAAGATATTTTACTGGATCAAAGAAGAATGGCGAATCATATTTTCGTGATTGGCTGAGATTCAGCAAGATTTCTAATAGCGCATTTTGTCTTCCATGTTGCTTTTTCTCCTCCAAATCTGGAAACAAATCACCATGGAGTAATTGGGGGGTTGGAAATATCGCTTTCCAGGATTTCAAACACGCGAAGCGGGGAGTTGAAGACCACGAGGACAGCCTTAGCCATTTCGACGCGACGCGGACATGGAAATGTTTCCTAAAAAATGTCAAGGATCCCACATCGCTAACAGGCACTTGTGTGAAAACCTATGATGAAAACATCAATCATTGGAGATTGGTTTTGCGTGGAATAGTAGACGCCGTACTATTCTTAGGTGGGTAGTCCTCTATCATTATATTTTACGTCCTAATAATTGATCCTAATATTTTTTTAGCCAAGAATAATTTGGTGGAAGTCAAAAAATAACCGATCCAAATTGTGGAAATTTTCTGAACCTCATCAAGCTGCTTTCGAAGTATTATGCCCCCTTGGCCGCCCACGTCGATCACTTACAAAAAAACAGCCCAAGTTATCTTAGTGCCATCTCCCAAAATGAATTTATTTTGCTCTGTGGCCAAAGAATTCGAACAAAACTTGTCAATGACATTAAGGAACGAAAATATTTTTCAATTTTATTCGACAGCACTCCGGATTCCTCTCGACAAGATCAAATTTCTCAAGTTATTCGCACAGTGGAATGCAAAGAAATGGGTTGCCGAGTTGTTGAAAGTTTTATAGACTTTATCACTACGACCAATAAAACCGGGCTTGGACTCTCTAAAGTCATCCAGGAGAAGCTGGAAATGGATGGATTGGACTTGATGGATTGCAGAGGACAAGGCTACGAAAATGGAGCAAACATGGCGGGCATCTATTCTGGAGTCCAAGCAAGAATTTTGGAAATAAATGACAAGGCAAAATTTTTACCATGTGCGGCACATAGCCTGAACTTGGTGGGGGTTAATGCAGCGGAGATAGTACCTCCCGCAAAGCTGATTCTTCGCGACGTCCAAAATATTTACTTATTTTTTTCCGGATCAACATCAAGATGGGATGTTCTTCAATCTAAAGTCAAGCTAACCCTGAAATATCAAAGTAACACAAGATGGTCATCAAAAACCGCCGCCGTCTCTGCATTATATGACCAGTACCCAGAAATCGTTGACGCCCTTACCGAAATTTCAACCTCAGAGTCTTTCACTTCGGATGTGAATGCCAATGCCCTTAGCAGATTGCGGGACATGCTAAACTATAAATTTTTACTTGGAATCACTATTTGGAACCATATTTTGTTCCAAATAAACATCTGTAATCTCAACCTGCAAGATAAAACAATTGATGTGAGTATAGCCAAGAAGAAATTAAATGTCCTCAAAACTCGGTTGGAGAATTTCAAGGAAACCGGATTTCAGTCATCCGAAGTCTTGGCGCAACAAATTGCCGAAAACATGGGAATAGAGATGTCAAGTGGATTTGAAAATATTCGTCAGGGAAGAGGGATAAATCCACGTTATATGGACCGTTCGGATGCTCTGGTTGCGCAAAAGCAAACCAACTATGAACGATTTGAAGCCGATTTTTTTGACAAATTAATGGAGAAGCTCATTTCCGAAATCTCCCGCAGATTCGACGCCTTTAAGAAGTGCACGGAGACTTTTGAATTTTTGTGGGGTCACAACCTTAAAGAGATGGAAATTCAAGAGAAACAAAAATGCATGCAGGATTTGTGTCATGAATATCCTTCCGATTTTTCCGGTCCTACATTTTTAAATGAAGTTCAGAGTCTGGAGACCACCATATCTGCATTTAACGAAACTGGCAGAGACCTTCCTCAATTGGGACCCATGGATGTCCTTAACATTCTTTACGCCAATGGCTTAGCGTCTGCCTACCCAAACTGCGAGACAGCACTTAGGATATTTCTGACTCTGCCCGTCTCTGTTGCGTCAAATGAGAGGTCGTTTTCGAAGATGAAAATAGTCAAGAATTACCTAAGGTCGACAATGGGTCAGGAGAGGCTTAACGCCCTTGCGTTAATTTCTATTGGAAGAGAGGTTGCAGATGATATTGACTTCGATGAGGTGATTAATGATTTCGCCTCCCAAAAATGTCGCAAAATTAAGATTGTATAACCTTGAAGTACGAGATAGAGTGGTCGAAGTAGTAAATATTCTTTAATAAAGTCATACCTTTACTAATTTGGACGTCATTAATAAGCTTATCATCATATTGATCTGATTTAGCACACAAGTTTAGAATTAGAATGTTATGCATAAACTCATAGTAAATTATTAAATGGGCCGGGCCAGGAAAAGTTCCCAGGGCCGGGCCAGGCAAGTTTGGGCACTGCATATAAACATATATTTTTATGTATGTTGGAAATTATTTAAATACTATTTTATCTTAAACATGTTACATATAAATATTTCTATTGTTACATAAATAAAATTTAAGTTTCCAGAAATGCAAATAAATATATCTAATGAGTAGGTTCGAAATTTCACATGAATAGCAGGACATATTTAAATGTTAAAAGTAACCCAGGAATGCTGTAATAATCTGCATGTTAAGTAGTGAACACTGTGACATATTTGACCAACAACAATCTGCATATTTGAATGATTTACAACGTATGAATACGATGACATGATCTACTTATGAATAAATCGGTTATAACTATTCCGAGTTCTTAGCACCACGTTTTTAACATGTCAACAACACCGATCAGAAAAACTAAATTCTGAATAAAGTTAAAATTTTGAAAGATATAGAACATTTAGAAAATGAGTAATACTAGTATGACGACAGGCACAGAAGAATTACGACCACAACAATATTTTCTATGACATTCAATTCAATTTCGTAACAGGATTGAGCAAATTTTCGTGTAATGGCTGTATTTATGTATGTATGACCAGTTTATTTCCCTCTCACAACTTCGTGGATATTATGCAAGGAAATTTCACTTAACTCGCAGGAACTTCAAAAAAGATTGGGATCAGTTTAGAATAATTGATACTATTTATTATTCAGGGTTAATGAATATTACCGCTGGGAAATCAAAGCTGTCGATTAGGGCTGCAACAGGCGGATATTTACCCTTGGACATGGTAGGCTAAGCTATCAAGATTTGCTGCACTAATCTTGAAAAGATCAAAGGGATTTTGTCCTCAAATGGCTCAGTGAAGGAAATCAATAATTTCCCTCAGAGGACAGCGCGCCCCTTCTGAGAGGCACGGTAGAGGCAAACGTGGCAGGACTTGGGGCGACAAATGTGTGGGAAGGAAAGATGCAAGCAAGTAATTGGAAAGTTTTCAGGCGATTTGAGCGCAGTGCCTAAAAATGGCCAGACTGATGTTTGTAGGTATATATCTTACATATATATTTTACATTCATATATAGTAAATGGTTGAAGTAACTCGAAAGTGGTTGAAAGACCAGCTATAAAATTGGTCCAGAAAGGCATCATGATCGAAACCAAACGAAACCGAAAGTGAGAAGAGAACTTTGTGCACTGAAAAAGTATAGCGAGTAAAGTTGGAACGAGAAATCTGAATCCGATCGAGTAAATTATTCTGAAGGTTTAAGGACCTTTGGATGGCAAATAGGACTACGCAATAAAGAAGAATGCTGACAACTCCATTGACAGACTAAAGGCACGGCTATGTGCCAGGAGCTACAAGCAGCGTTACGGAATATAGTTTACTGAACAAGATTCTTAGTTTCAATTACTTTGCATGAATTATTCTATCCCATTTTCTCACATTTTTATTAGTCTGGTCTGCATGGGAAATCGTGATAACGGATGAAATGCCATATTCTAACATATTTAACCTATTTAAGAACAATGTCTCCACAAAAGGGCTATCGTTCGTGCTGTACAAATCGGTGAAGTAACTTATCAAGCTATCACTCACTAAGTCAAAACTCTCGTCAAGTATGAAAGCCAATAAGAACCAGCAGGTGGTCGAGATGTCCAAGATTTTGAACACCTTGAGGAGGCTGTCGCCCCAGATGTGGCCAAAGCACGCCGGGGTCCCTAAGACACGGAACGAAATATTGAAAAATCTGAAAGCTTTGGTAGGAGAGCATTTCTTTATATACGTTTCACACTTTTTTTCGCAAATTAGTTATGAATCTCGTAAATTTTAGAAATTTACCGAGTGGTTGCTATCCCGGGCACAGATAAAATATTTGATAAGATGTTGCATTCCATGCAATTATTAAGAAATTGAGTTTTAAAAATAGGTACAAATGTATGTTGCAGAAGGTGGGTTCCAAACTATGACCGACATACTTTCATACATATGCGCCATACTCCCAAACACTTCCATAATCGATGTAGCAAATGGAAGGTTAGGAGTAATCTGTTAGATCATTTCTATCCATCTACAAAATTCAAGAGATTCAAAAAGAGTTCTAATTTTAAATGCTAGTAATAGTAAATATTTTAAATGCATGAAAATCCCGATGATTTGAAAAAAATAGAAAAGAAGATTGCAAAAGAATTGGAAAATACTCAAAGATAAAGATCATCCAGATTTCTAAGTTGACGTATCTATGTAGTCTTTGAATCATGGCCTTATGTTAGCTCAAACCGACCTTGAGGTGGAAAATAGAAACTACCAAGAATTTGTTAATTCGGAAGGCAAAATATTCAGTCAATTATGTCGCAAGATCCGGATCGTTTGAAGTCGTAAAGGAGAACAAATGTAAGGATAATTGCGCCATCACCTGAAAATATATTCGAGACCTTCGTGCTAACGCTTTCGTTTGCAGTAATTCCACACCTGCGCCCAATCATTCAGGAACGAGATGCTAAGCTGAGCGGATGATAGAGAAGGATTTGTTCAGTGGATGGAGGGAAGAATTTAGAAGCAGGCAATCGTGGGGTAAGACTTTGAAATGATTGTTATCGATACATACGAATGTGATTTTGAAATGCATTATATTTCTATCCTTAATTAATATACATAAGTAATTCAACTTTACCACTGCTTGCACCATCATGATTGGAATAATTTATGCAGGATTTATTTGCCTGGCATCCATTTCAACGTCCAGCAAAACAAAACGTGTATAAATAACTACCTATAAGCTCAAGGATTAACGAGTTTAAAATGTAAATTTCATACAATTTTAAATATTATTTTCAAAATATTTTAAAAACACGTACATATATATACGTACTAAACTTAGCAACCAAAATTTTATCGTCGCGGAAGTATGAGTAACTTCATTCTTCATTCGTCAGTTACACCATGTCGAATTTCAAACCAGTGTGAAACAAAGGTACATATATTTTATTAAGTTTGATAGATTGAACATAAGCAACGCTGACACTTGAGTGTGTCCTAAAAGTTTCTCCCGATTCCTCTGGCGAGGTATTTTTAATTATAAATTCGCCTCTTTCTTGCACACCTGTTAGTTTTTTTGGGAAATTTTTCGGAGAAATGAGGCAAAAGGTCAAGTCTTCGCGTGAACAAACGAGAATTAGGATACATGCAATATTTATCTAGTACAGGATTGCGTGTCAAGGAAATCTGTCAGAAATTGAAAGTGTCCCCAAAGATAGTGTCGTTATGGAAATTAAAAAAAAATATTTTAAATATTTATTTTAAATATAGACAAAAAGGTCCCTGATGTACTTCCAACACGACTCGTAACTGAATAAACTAGTGAATTTGCATAATTTATTTGCAATTGAATGATAAGTAGTTTGAGAAGAAAAAGTTTAGTTTGACTAATTTTCAATATTTCGAATATCAAGACTTAGTAGAAAAAAAATAAATAAATTTATTAACCTAAAACTTATTAAAATTATTTTTTCTACCAAAATTAAATTAAATTATTTAATTTATGAAATTGATTAAAATTTTATATTTTGGGTTTTGTTTTACAGAATTTATCAACGGCTGTAAATCGATAACCGTAAATTGTTTCATTCCAATTACATTTCACTTTGAATAAGTATCAAAAATTTATAAAGTGAATTATTTATTCGTGTATTTAGTAATTGGGTTTTAAATCTTTCATCATTTTTTAAAAGTTCAATGGGTACATTGCATGAGAGAGTTTTTAAATTAATTATTAATGATTAATTCATTTAAAAAATCTTGTCTATTAGTGAACACTTGCATATACATTTTGCATAAGTTCATATCATAATCGCAGCGTCTTTATCGATACGACTGAATCATTGGCACAATGGGGCACATCAATAAAAAAAGATTTCTGCAGACAGTAATTTTCATAATTGCATAAAAAGTTGCATGAAAAAATGGAATTTTTTGCCTCTCAAAATTATACATACTTACAATACTTAGAATGTTAAATCCCATCCATAATTTTGTCAAATTGAGTAATGAAACTTTTGTAGCTTCTTAGTTTTTCTGCGCATCAAATATTCTTGAAAAAGTTGCACCAATTATGAATCATGCAGTATGGAAAAAATCCACGTAGATATTTCAATAAAATCAATCACCACATATTCAGAACTTTTAAGCAATAAACAGCGTTATTCGTCATTATGAAGGAAACGGAAGGGTGTGCATACATGTCACTTAGATGTACCACGGTTTTCAAAGATCTGTCTTTTCATATGTAGTACTTAGAGCGAAAATTCCAGAAAGATTGTGATGATGAGGTGAAGTAGTGGGTTAAATTGTGGAAAAAATTTAACAAATAGGTATAGTAGGCATTGCCTACTAGGCAAATCTCTTTTTCTTATATAGAATACGTATCGTTTCCATATCTGCCAGCTTATTTTTACTTCCCCAACGCTGAAAGTATTCTACGATAAGTATCGATTATTTTCATTGGAAGTGTTATCATGAAAGGTTTTGAGACGAATATCAAAAATTGAAGAAACAAAAAACAAAAATATCAAAAAATATATTATTTTTATTTGGAATAAACAATATTTACGTTGGACGGTATAAAATAAATCCTGTAAATACGGTGTGCATATTTTAGTGAAGTAAAATTAATTTCTTACCATTTCTAGTTAAATCCAGTCAAATTATTTGATTTAGGATTTAGGATTATTTCTTTAGTTAGGTTGACTACGATTGGAAAACATCTTTTTGATATTGAATTTAATTTCGAATACTTGATTTTTATTTAAGACGTG